GTCATGAAAAACAAGGTGTTTTTTAGCCAATGTTGCTTGGCGGCCGCACACAGAGGGTTTTTAATTCATTTTCGCGGGCCGCAAAAAATAGTTGTCGGGCCGCACTTTGCCCACCTGTGTAATAAGGATATTTTTGGCCTTCAGAATTCGAACTCCACAAAGTGACATACTGTAAATGTAGTAAAACTGCAATTTTAAGCAGAAGTAGTCTTAGAATACCTGACCTTCCTAAACCTAAAAAGGCAGGACATCCAGAGGGTATTCCTGTTAGACTACTAAGAGACTTTGCTTTGGAACCAGCCCCCCCCCCCCCCCCCACTGTCTATCTAAACTAATATTTTTAATTGTGCCCTAAAAGCTGGTACTGTATTTAAAAAAAAAATACTTGGAAAAAGGCAACTATCGTGCCGGTGCCAAAAATTAAAGGAGCTACTGCTGTGTCCCATATCTCTCACCCCTTTATTACTATTAGCAAGAACTTTTGAAACTTTCTCAGTCAGTTGGATTGTAGATGAAATTAAGAATAAACTTGATACTTGATGGTTCAGCAGTAGAATGGGAACATCCACTACCCACTACCATATCTGTTTACAGTATTTGATTCGGTATTAATGAACACTTCTGGCAAACAATGTTATGACAAATTTGTTGAAGTAATAATATTTCATAATAGATTTGATGTTATAATTTACAGTAATGTAGTTAGGGATCAATGCCGTAGCCAGCTGTTGGGACAGTCCCACATAATTTTTCTAATGGGTCGACAAAGAATGGGTCCACATTATTAAAAATGGGTCCAAATTATGTAATTTTATGCATAAAATGAGTCCACTTTTTGAAAAATGGGTCCAGATTTCTCATATTTAGTCTGTAATGGGCAAAATTTAAGAAAATGGGTTCAGATTTCTAATATTTAGCCTGAAATGGGCAAATTTAAGAAAATGGGTCCACATTGTTTGAATTAATGTGTAAAGTGGGTCCACCCTAATATTGTCCCACACTGTTTGAAAATATCCTGATTGCAGACAACACAGAGAATTTTACTATCACTGTCAGAGAAGAGCAAGTTGTTAATTTACTGAAGAAAATTAATAGCTCCAAGTTGGGGCCCCTGACAAATTAAGTGGTAAATTTCTCAAAGTTGGTTCCCCCGAGCTGGGGGGTACTTTTAGCAGGATCTTCTAATTCTCTCTCGCATACGATTCCCACCATTTGGAAGCAATCTATGAGAATACGAATATTTAAGGCTAGATATGTTGAGAATGACTTCAGACCTATTGTACTCACATCTTTAGTGATGAAATGTCTTGAAAAAAAAGAATTGTAAATAATGAAATAATGTCAAAAGTAGATTGTACCTTGAGATCCAATGCAGTTTGCCTACAGGCCAAAGCGTGGGGTAGACGATGCCACAGCCACTCTTTTTCATACACGTCCATAGAGTACCACAGTCATGTCTTCACGACATCAGGTGGCGCTCTCTGTTGTCAACAGATGAGGTTACTGTTCATTACGCCTAAATGACTTCATAGGCTTTCTGGAATAGGCATTTTAAAATCTAATATTTTACCATCAAAATGTACTAAAAACACAAAATCTCACATTATATTAGTTATTGAACACACAATCAATAACCAATTAAAATTGAAAATTAAATTAATTAAAAGCAAGATACAACATCTTAATAGTTACGTTAGAAATTGGGATCAATGGTTTGTCTGTAGGGAAAATGGTGTCGGTTGAATGCATTTTGCAAAGATAGCAACGGACTAGTATCACATGGTATCGTGACGTAACACTGTAGTACTCTATAGCAACCTGAACAAAAGAAATACATCGCTTCATCGACACCATATAGCCCTATATCGCAACTCACTGACTACAACATTCCACCTCCAGTCATTCTATGGATTAATGACTTCCTCCTCAACAGTTAAATTTAACAACACTCTCAGAGACAAGCCACATCAACACTGGCTCACCACAAGGCTGTGCTCTCCCCACCTGTTTATTCTATACACAAACCCATGTAGAACAATACCAGTTCTTGTCAACTTTTTAAATATGCAGTTGATACTGTACATGTCTGGTTGGTGACATTAAAGATGACATAACTCTGGATAACTATCTGAGGAATGTTGAGAACTTTGTAAATTGGTGCCATGAGCAATTTCTTAAACTTATAATGTTATGGAAACAAATAAAATGGTAATCGATTTTAGGACCAGAGAGCTTGTTTATTTTGATGTTGGAATAGATAATGAAATTGTGAATAAAGTAAACGAGTTAAATTACGGTATCTTGGTATATTATTGAGTTAAATTGGCATACCCATGTAAAATAAAATAATTGGTTAGCATCCCCTCCCTAACATCAGGGAGGCCACCGACCTAATTTTTTTTTTTTTTTTTTTTACAAAACACTCACAAACTCCAATTAATATAGGCCTAGGTTTGTTTACTACCCATCTGCACGCTAGCAAGACCACTTGCAGTTCTATGCTCTACTGTTGTTCTATACTGTAACCACATGGTATCCATGATGCCTGTTGTTTGGAGTGAATTGTGCGTGATTATAGATAATTGCATTATGACTGTTATAGGTAAAGTTTCTGCTTGCTATAGATGAATTACATATATTCTTGTATGCAATTTTTATATACATTTGTATTTGTTGTGGACAAGTCAATATGAATGAATGAATGAATAGTAATAAAAATAGTAGTAGCCCAGGAAACTCATTAAATCCTGTAAGAATTCCTTTGCAAAAGCACTTCAAATAATTTCGATCTAGTATTAATCCTTATTCCTGTTAATTTTAATGTTATTCTATAAGATTTTTTTCATTTCATTAAAAAAAAATACTATTTGATGTCTTATTTTAAAACTTATCAAATCCAATGGGAATTAATTTCATGTATTCTTATTGAATTTAATAAAATTCCTATAAGTTATTCTAAATACAGTAGTCCAATATGAATTCCTATTAAATTCTATATGATTAATTTACATTTTGTTAACCTAATTGGAAACCTAATTGAATCCAATATGAATTTTTACAGTTATTCTTATTGAATCAAATATGATTTCTTATGATTTTATTCTCACCATATGCTATTTAATTTCTTATATGAAATGTTATTGAATCCATAGAAAGTAATTACCTGTACTATTAAATCAAATATAAAATCCTGTATCTGAAGTCTAATTTAATAGGAAATCCTATTTTATTTCTTTGAATCGTATATGATCTATTTTAATTATATTCTTTTTAAATACTATTTGAAAACCTAATTGAATCTAATAGAAATTTCTACAATTTTCTTATTAAATCAAATAGGATTTATTTTCACTTATTCTCATTAAGAGCTATTATCTTAGTGGAAGTTATTCTTGTTATTCCAAAATTCTATTTTTTGTATAATTTATTTTATTTGTTATTTTGTTAAATTGTTATTTGGTATTCATATAGTGCCTATTCCTTTAGCTTAAAAAGAGCTTGTCCCTGGTCATTGGGTCCAAACGCTTAAGTGTTGCTGCCATATTGTGCAGTAGCAGGCAACCCACCAGGTACCCATTTATACTTCTGGGTGGAGAGAAGCAATGCAGATAAAGTGCCTTGCTTATTGGACATTTGCGAAATGCACAGCATGGGAATGAAACCCTGACCTCGAGCTGACCAAATTGTCCCGCTGCATAAAAGCGCTTGCACGGATTGATTTGATACCTATTAAACACTATTTAATCTCGCTTACCCTTTCCAGATTATCAAAATTTTCAATTTTCATGTGCTATGGTTATGATGACATCACATCATTACCATATATAGGCACATCATGACTATATATGGGCATAGAACAGTTTTTTGTCAAACAAATGTTGATAATGGGGACTGAGCTTTATTGGAAACAACTGAATCCAATATGAATTTTTACAGTTATTCATCTGGCGCTTTTGTTGGAAGTTCAAATCTGATAATTATATGTGGGTGTGTTTGTAATGAAGTACTGCTTATGTTTTTCTGAAAATTATTACCTTTGAATTTCTTTTTTTTTTTTAATCATAAAAGCTAAAGTATTGAAGCTTCTAGGTGGTGAGTAGGTAACCTCACCAAGCTTTGTCTATAGATCCTACCTGGACACCTTGTCATTATTCAAAAGCATAGTAATTTAGTACATTAATAGAATTTAGAGCCATCTTCAGGATTATTGTGAGAGTGTGTGGTAGAGCATGAGAAACTGCTTGGAATCAAAGTCATACATAAAAGAGATTACTTTTATATTACAAAACATTTATTTTTAAGAAATTGCAAGTTATCACACCTGTCAAGTATTACCTTTGATACTCCATTACATTCAGCAGTAATAATTATTTATGCATACCTTCCATTATGTTCATTACAGTTGTAATTATGTATATTACAGTTCTATTATAATGTAAAGTATGCAATACATTACATATAGTAGTTCTATTATTTACAGTATGCATCCATTACATACATCAGTTTAACTATATGTACAGTATGCAAACCATTACATACAGCAGTTCTGATGTACAGTATGCAAACGATAAAATACAGCAGTTCTACATGTATGTGCATCCAATACATACTGTACAGCAGTTATGTCTGTATGTACAGAATGGAAACCATTACATACAGCAGTTCTATATGTAAAGTATGCAAACGATAACATACAGGAGCTCTACATGCAATTACATACTGTACAGCAGTTCTGTAATATGTATGTACAGTATGCAAATGATAACATACTGTATAGCAGCTCTACATGAATATGCCTCCATTACTTGTATATACAGCAGCTCTCATTTATGGATGCACAAATGTTTAGTGTATTCAATTCATTGCAAAACTGTTTACTATGATATGCAACCCATTGCATCAGTTTTACATGACATATGCAAATATATCTCTCCCTCTCAGTGGCAGCTCTAAGATATAATTTATGGGGGGGGGGGCGTGCTAAGTATCTATGGGTATTTATGGGTGTAACTATAGTGCGCAGCATTATCTGAGGGCAGAAGGCCTGAGCTGGGGGTGGATATGGGAGGGGGATGTCCCCCCTCCCAAAACAAGATTTAAAAAAAAATTGGAACTTCTAGATGGCCGGAAATGGCTGGGATGGGAAAACTAGGCCTATTTTTTGTTTTCTTTTGGTTCGACTGCCCGACGAGCTTTGGCCGATGGAGGGGGCTAAGCCCCCTGCCCCCGCTGGCACCGCCACTGCTCCCTCTCACACTCTGCAATTCTATTCTATATCTTATAAACCTCATTTGAGGTCATTCTTCATTTAGTAGATGCAACAAAACTGAATTTCAGATTTACCAGTTCACAAAATTGATGTGATTGAAATCATTATTTATGTTTAAAATGTATACTCTTCTACTAATTATTTTGAAAATCATAATTTCACAATTATATTAACAAACTACACAGGCTCTTGGTTTAACTTTAAACTATTTCAGAAATGAAAGTGAACAACAACTGTTAAACAATATCATTTGCAAAAAAATACCATTAATATATAAAAAAAAAAACCATATCTCTAGTAAGTTGTTCCATTCCAATAGCTTCATTAAACCAGCGACACTATTAATACAAAATAAATATTGAAATAACTGTATAAAATCTCATAACTCTGTAAATTTTATACATATTATTTTTATACAAACCTGAATTATAAACACAAAGGGCAAATAAACAGTTCACCTTATCATTAATATACTAAAATAATAATTATTATTTTCCTTTTAAATTTAATATGAATGGCCTACCAATAGCAGACTACAGTAGAACCCCTAGGTACCAAAAAACGTGTCCCCTTAATAGGGGTGTCCCCTGCATAGGGGTACCTCATTTTGGGTACACTACACAAAAACATGATATTGTCCCCTTAATAGGAGTTTTTGGCATGTTTGCATACAATAATGACATAGATTCTTTATAATTTTATTTAATTGGCATAAGAATGAGTACAGTTGAATTAACTAATTTATAACAATAATTTTAAATTGAAAACCAATTAATTTATGATATGAAATCAACAGAAATATAATTAAAACAACAAAATTTGTATATGTTTCCAATATTGTTTCATTATTCAAGTGCAATGTTAATGGCCAAATATTAGAATCCTATATAAAAACCAGGCCTGTAGGCAGGTTTTTTTATTGGGTGGGTGCGAATTTATAGAGAGTGGACCAAAATGGCTGGGATTGAGGTGGTGGAGGTCTTATTTAATCAAAGATGCGTGTATGGTTTTCAGTGGTGGATCTAGGAATTTGAAGAGGGTCCAGAGAGAGACTTTCACAGATGGAGGAAATACCACCTCAGCCCCACCATGGTTGGGACTGATGGAGGAAAATTGATTATTATGGCACCTCCAAATGGCTGGAAATTTCACTCTCATACAATTTGAATATGATTTTTTTTTTTTTTTTTGAAAAATTGAGGGGGGACTGGAGGACTGGGCTTCCTTGAATCCGCCAGTGTCAGTGGCAAATGAAATAGAGGGGGAAAGGAAAGAACTTTCACAAATTGAGGGTCTAAAATTTATGATTATGGCACTGAAGATGGCACATGCAGACTTAAATTTAAATATAAATTTCTTTTTTTTAGTGGGTGGGGGGTTATTTTTAAATTTTCTACCCTAGAAAACGTGGACCTTTGGTAATTTGGGGGCTTTTCGCTCCCCCCCCCCCTGCATACAGGCCTGGAGAAACACGCTAACCATGAAATGCCCATGGTTAATGGATGATAAAATTGACAAGATTGTATTTATATGAAGTAGAGTAACAATATGCACTAGTCCCATTCTAAATATTGAGAGGAAAAAACTCAGATTTCATGTCAAGTTTATTGCTCAAAAGGTGTTAAAAAATTATTTTGAATGATTTTTTTCCCATTTGTTTTGATACCTGTACAATAAAAAAAGTGTCCCCTTAATAGGGGTTAAATATGTATTAATTTGACCATATGGCACACTCAGAAAGTGTCCCTGTCCCTTAATGGATTGGCCGTAGTGTAAAAGATATGCCCTATATTTACCCTCGTTTCATGAAATAATATCCCCTTATAGGGGTGTCCACTGAAGGGCCTATGTTATGTTCCCCAAAAGAGGGGTTCTATTGTATTTTAAGAACACAGAAAAAAAACCATATAAGAACACAGAAAAAAAACCATATACATATTTTACAAAATCACATCATACCATTTTAAATATTCTTGCAAATATTTGTAAGTTTCTATTATACATAAACTGCTGTAGTTATTCTCTTACAAAGGTTTCATATTTTCAATCATTTCCATATTGATAGTGAACTTAATTGATAAAAATTATTCCCTTGGTATTCCATATCTTGAATCAAAACCACTTGATGCATTTATAGAGTTCCTATAAGAACTCTATGCATTTTATATTTAACACTGCCCTCTATTGGTAAAACTTTTGTAAATAATTTTAAGACAGAATTCCTAAAAAGCAATTTGTAAGAATTTTATAATAAAATAGATCAAATCAAATTCTTTCCCACCAATCATAGGGCTCAAATACTACCTGATTGATCTGATTAGATATTTTGATTTGACGTTTATTATTGCTTTGTGCACTTTTGGTTTAAAATATACTGAATATTCTCGAGTGCCACAAATCTAAAGTGAATTTGTTATTAAAATAATAATTTATTTAAAACGTCTTTGATTAATCTTTTTACTAATCACATGATGGTTTTTATAAAGGCATGATGTTATATATCTGAGAGGTAGCTATAAATAATCACTTCATACTGATATCATCCATCATACTATTCACCTCCAGTCTTTTAATTTCAGAAAATAATTTAAAAATATAGAACATAAACACACAGAAATACATATTTACTGTTAATGTTTTGTTTTCATGTTTTTAAGTACCTGGTAACTTTAAATTAATACATTACTGTAAAATTTATGAAGTAATTGATGTAATAGTTATTTCTCATATCTATTGGATGAATGGAAGTCTAATTACAGATATGTAGTTCTTGTTCTCTTTCACATGTCTCACACTCTACTTTACAACACCACAGAAAACGGCAATGACAACTTTCTTGTACTTTCTGTACCATAGTTTGATACCCACGGTCACAACAAAGAAGCTTACAACCATCAATACCTAAACTAGTTTGATTACAATAACGTCCATGTGTGCCACTTGAGCCGTGCCGTTTGTTTTCTTCACAATAACTTGGTGACTCCTTTAAGTACACGATATCTTCTGTTGTCGGTTTCTTGTAGCCCTTTTTAATTGGCCTTAATTTTCTCCTTTTACTGGAATATTTGACATGGGGTGCTTTGGCATATTGTTCTTTTAAAATACTGCCAATATTTGGTAACTTTGGCATTGAATTCCAGCAAATCCTTGATGTACATGTTGCAGACACACCATGGCATTTGCATCTCAATCCCATATTCTTTTTAATGGCCTGTATAAAAAAAAAATATTAAAATTACTATTTAAACACAAAACATTAAACACACTGTTTTCATGAAAGAAATTACAATGTTTAAATTTGCAATAAACTCAAAATATTTAAAAAAAAAAAAAATCAAGTCTGATGTTTTTCTTCTTTTTTTTTTTTAAACATTTATTTCTCCCATACAAAATGTATGATATTTAAAAATACATTTCAATCTTTCAGGAATTAATACCTTAACTGTGGTTGGATATTACTATTAGTCATGTAGTTACCAATTTAAAATACATGTGATGAGTGATGTTCAATCCTTAATGCCACTGTGTTTTTGTCAGTACAGACTGTTTTACCTTCTGAAATATGAAAATTTACATTAGCACAGAGAAGGAAGAAACTGGCAAAAACACCAACTTGCTCCTGATAAGGCCCCATGTAACTTCCAGGCCTGCAAGCTACAACCAACATCTACCTCATTTTGCTGCTATAGCTGCTCGGAAGTCCACCTTTGTCATCAGCGCCAATATTTAACAAATTTAAGGTTGTTTAATTTTACCCAGGAGAATCCCTATTAAAGGCCCCCCTGGAAGCTTTGCATTTACCACATCAAAAGAGTTTTGGACGGTTTAATAAAGGAAGCAAATACATTTTGTGTTGACAGCATTTCCCTATATAGTGTTTGTATTTACTTGCATAGACACAGTAATGTGATACACTGGGCAATGAACAATACTAGATGGTAGGCCCATTTTTTTTTAGTATCTACATACCGGTAATCAAAGTACAAAACATCAAAAAACATTTAAAAAATAGTCCTTAGGTCTGGTTATTAAGCATCTATCTGATATTATATAATAATAAATTATTCCACATGGGCATTTTAAATGATAAATGAAAGAACTTTTATACTATTTTTTGAGTGTTTGATCACTAGTATATTAAAAAGATAAAAAAATTTACAATTAATATAAACAATAGGCCTACACGATTCTACTGTATGTAGAGTAGAAGGCTAACCACCAAGCTATTCAACTCCACTCCATGAATGGAGGAGTGACTTAGAAGAAGAGTGCAGGTTATGTGATTAAAAGTACCTTTTTCATGAGGACAAGGGAAAATCATTGGTTTAGATCTGAATGGCAAGATTGGTTTATATGAAGTATTCAATTAAATACACATTGGAAAAACCAACTGGAAAATATGAACACTGGCACAGGTAGGCTTATATAGATATCCATAAGATTGAGATTTTGCTTTTTGGTGATTTTATGCCTCATGTCTTTATAAAAATTGTATTATTATATTAAGTTTATAATTTTTGTTGTAAACAGATATGAAATAATGGTGTCTCATTAGTAGGAATGCCACAAAGGAGTATTATGTAGTAATAAAAACCAGACTATTATTATTTTCATTACTGTCATTATAACATTTTATATTCATTGCCAGCTTTAATTTCATATTACAATACAATAATTAAATAGAAATCCATTATTTTAAAGGCCTTTAAAAACCTGCACACTTTTAATAGTTTAGTTTCAGTTTTATTGTTTCACACAATGAACATCAAAACTGAACAAGATATAAGAACATATTATAATACTGTAGTTCAATGGTTTTGATTCATTAACTTAAAGATAACAAGAGTATGATCAAAATAGAATTTCATGGTATGGATAAAATTATATTATTAACTAGATACAGTGAATATTCATTGTGTGTGGAGAAAACAATTTATGTCTGATCCTCCAAATAAACATATACTGAATTAGTAAATGGCTAGTGATATAATATGTAATAATTTAATAGAAAACAAACAAACAAATAATAATGGTGGTGAAATGTTTCTGGATATAACATGTAAAATATATTGAGTACTGTAATAATCAGGAAATAAAGAAAAAAAATGAAGAGGATGGTATTTTTAATAGTTATCCACTATTTAATGGAGGATAAACGAAAAACTAAGATGCATGCTTATCAATCAAGAATTGTTTATATTTTCTTTTGAAACTGAGATTTTAAGGTGTGTGTTAATTTAAGGTTAAAAGGTAAATTGTTCCATAAGTATGGCCCATTATAAATAAAAGATGTCCTTCTCAGTAAAGTAGCGTGGCTTTCATAAATACAATTTTTGACAGTAGAAGACCTGATATCATATGAATGGTATTGGCAAAAGTTGGTGAAAAATATATGAAAATGAGAGGAAGTTGATTGTTATTTAAACGAAACATTAACTAGACTGTTTGAACTTGTTAAGATCAAAGATTTTAAAGTATTAAGAGAATAAAATAAATGTTTGGAGTGGGACCTGGTGGGGGTGGGGGTGGTGCCCCTGTGCATATTCTGAGTGCTTTATTTAACGAAAATAATGAATTTTAGTCATTTCAGAACTTAATATATTAAGGTAAGTGTATTATATAGAGAAAATAAGATATTGAAAGGAAGTGTGTAATTTAATTTAGATAAAACTCCGTTTCTAGAAACTATTAACATTGGCAATATGACATTTCCAACTGCATTCGCAGTCAATTATGACTCCCAGAAAATTTGTGCTGGAAACTCTTTTAATTGATTAAATAAAGAGAGGAATTTTCCTTCACAATGGCAGTACAGTATGATAAATACGCCTCAATGATAAACATGATTTCATGTCGAGTTTGAGTGACATTGTATGAGAAAACATTGAGGTATAGTTACGCAGGTGTACATGGTTTAACGAAGAACGACCAGTCGATTACAGCCATTAGCTTGATACTTAGGCCTATATTTATGATTGTATACTTTTTAAGTGAAATTTCTTAATAAAACAGTGTTCTCTGCACATGTTCTATAATTATTCTAGTCCTATTTTTTTGTACAGGATATTTTATCTTTGAGACCGATTTTCTAAAAACGTGGTTCTCATGAAACTTATTTTGTGGTGATACCTCACATATTTTGTTAAATAAGATTATGTCACCTATCTTTCCTAATTCCTTACCATTGTGGTGTTTTACCATTGTCAAAAATTTCTCAGTCTTAGTATTCTCTGTCACAGGTATTTGATGTGCAACACCTGTACTTACTGCTGCCATGAAGTCGGAACAACTGCACCAAGAGGGAGTCCTGTTAATTTAGTTAGCTGTTAGTCTGCTACCACAATGTTTATATACCTTTACCCATCCAACCTATCTATTTCACATACAGTTATTGCTAGAATGTAAATTGAGAATTGGAGAATGTTGTTCTCTATTTGTAAGTTTTCTTAAACAAGACAACTGGGTAACTGAAAACCATAGATTAAAGTTACAAAATACATAGGATATTTTTTGTCCTGTTGCAATGTCATCTTGTTTTCATTCCCTACATTGTAACAGGCCTATAATTGTTATGGTTTTTTTTTTTTTTAGAATATTTTTGTAATGAAAGGTTTATATGTGAATGCACTATATAAAAGCATGTGCCACTCTGTTAGTTATAGAGAATTCTGTTAGATCTGACTGGAGGTATTATTATTATTCTATCTGATTATATTAAAAATTTGCATGGTAATACAATTATACAGTATATAGGTTAATTCAGAAAATAACTATACAATATACAGTACATTGGTTTTTATAGTGAGATTTTTTTTTTGATTGTCAGAGAAAAGATAATTTTTTTTTTGAATTTGCAAAATGGTTCTGCTAAAAACATATCTAGGTGGAAAAAGGTAATTAAATTAATTTATATTGATGAGATAAAAAAAATATTAGAATTCAATTCAACGTAACATTTATTTCTCTTTTTTCATATATGTACAGCTTTAAATCAAAAAGGTAAATACAGGTATTAATTTCAGAAGAGAGCCAAAAACCCAAAAGCAAAAGCTTGTGAAGGGCTGCCTGAATAAAAAAGAAAAAAGCCAGGAGGGTGGCCTTAGCTTTTCTCAAGATCTAATTGTGCATAATCATATATAATATGAATAATATTATGATAATGATACAATATTTTTAAAGTACATTTTACCAAGGTTTCATAGCAAAATCTGAAAAAAAACTTCTTCACGTCTTCAGGAGAATAATAATAATAATAACAATAATAATAATAATAATAATAATATTAATAATAATTAAAACTTTATTAAAGTACAGGAACACCTGTTCACCTCAATGGTGTTTTCAACAATTTTGTGCCTTATCTTTTACATAAATATTAGGCATGCCATCAAAAAACCAGCGTACTGTCGCTATGTTAAAACTAATTAGTAATTAGCATAAGATACAGAGAAGCCAGCTTTTACATTGGCAATAGTAAGTCGATTCCAGTAAATGACCTAGCATTTTAAGTGGAAAATAAGAATTTATTAAAAAATCTGTTCATTTTTTGGTCACTGATCTTGGTTTTGGAATGTCAGTATGTTCATTTCAAGAGAGATTATCAACTAGATCAGGGCCGCATCCAAATGGGAGGGGGTCCTACCCTCCCCCTCAAATTAATCAAAACTTATAGTATTAAATAATTATAGTAGTAAATAATTGGTAATGTGATTTACAGAGTAACTGAGTGACCTTTGCCTCAAACCCGGTGTACACGTTGTGTCATCTAGAAATCTTGAAAGTTAATATTGTGCATACAGTAATCAACATTAAACTCTTTGGTTACCCATATTAAGGTAGCAAATGAAAACACTAATCTATTACAATATTATTTGGTATAATCAGGGAAGAGTGTGAATTTACTTTTCCCTGGTAATACAATTTAACCTCCCTGTGCAACCACCTCCCTTAAGCGATCACCTCCCGTAAGGTCCACTCTCATTATGGTCCTGTGTGTTCTCTTCTCCCTATCTAATCAGTGCCACCACCTCCCGTAAGTGACAGCAACCACTTTTTGACGTTTGGATTTTTACATCCCATAAGTAAATGTACGCTTTTTTTTTTTATAAGAACACTGAGGCTGAAATTGCTTAAAAATTAAGAACAAAATAAGAACAAAAAATTGAGGCTGAGTCCAATGAGATTTTTATTTTTAAAAAAACTAGAAAAACC